TTATGAGTTCAAAAAAACATCTAAATGAAGCAATTACTACCAAAATTATAATGTCAACAACGATTCAGTCTCTCCAAAGAGTACAGAAGCAAAAATAAAAAGTTCTAATTTCAAAAAATTGGTAGTATACCTATACCTGGAACGCTAATTTTATAATTAAACCACATATTATTAAAAAATAAATTTAAATCTAAACGAGTTTTTTTTAAGAAGGTTAAAAATATAGTAATAAAAAAAATGTAAAATGATAAATAAATAGTAGGCTTGGCAACATGGTATTTATGATTTATTGCTTTGTCATTTCTAGGCTATCTGTATCTCTCTGTATTTTGAATCGAATAAAACTGTACAATCCGTTTTTTTTTAATGATTAAATCACTATAATTAGTAAAATATTTTCAAATATTCGTCACAATAAAACCTCCTAATAAATAAAATAAGTAGAATACCCTTTTATTTACTTCGTACCTACTTGCTGCAAAAACAGAATTTAAATGATTACAGAGCAACGTAAAACAAGTGACATTGTAATTATAATGAAGATATGGTTTCTGAAAAACAATCAGATGAATAATAACTAAATCATCGTAAAAATAACACTATCCATCAAACTATTATGAAAGAAAATGGCGTCGTTTAATTTGTTTCAGGAAATTACGGCCTTTAAAGACATTTGAATTATTATTTTTATGGAAAATGTATTTCAATAATAATAATTATAAAATATTGATACTTACAAAGCAAATATTTGCTGAAGAATATTCCAAATTATAACAAAAACGATAAAGCCATTCACGAGTAATTGACTCACGAACTATACGTTGCAAGGTTGCCACTGCCACAACTTGAAGTGTCAACTGTCAAAATTTAAAATTGTAGTAGATTAAATGAAATTGTACTAGATTAAATGAAATTGTACTAGATTAGAATTTTTTTTGTCCAACGGAAAAATATATATTAAAAAATATCCTTCTTTTTAGATGCGTATAAACGGTAAGAAATCTACTTTTTGATAATACCCTACGAGCGTACCTTTTCACACTTATTTCAGTTTCGAAAGATGTTACCTACTTTCCCGCATTAGGCGAAAATGTGATTTTACTTTCCTGTACTAGATACATACTTATTAGACATTTTCGGACAAAATATAGAGCTAAAAAGAATAGCATTTATTTGCATTTTTGGACAAGTTACTTTAGCATTATAAGAATATTTTGTAGAATTAATGTTCGTTAGTGTTATTTGAATAAAATAAATAAATATATTTGTATTTACTTTTTTCCATGAAACGTAGAAAAAATGTTGTTTTTAACACATGCGGAAAGTGTCTTTCCGCACTTGTTAGGAAATAACTATGTATACCCACCTGTAAATCCTTAAAGAAACGTCAACGTCAAATCAGAAAAAACTTGAGTTAGGCGATATTTTTATTTTTAAAACACACTGTGAACTCTTGCTCTGTATTTAGTAGAATTAAAATAAATGAGGTTGTTTCCTCAAATCATTATTAAAATAAATATTTGATAATTTTTCTGAAAAATATTTTGAAAAATGACTGAATTAATATTTTTATTCGTTATAAGCCCTGTTTTTAAATAAACATATTAATTTGTTCTATATAGTAGGTACAACTAGATTTAGTTTGTACAAAACTTACATATTATATATTTATTTATTATGAATTTTTGCAAGCTTAAACTACTTAAAAAATATTGTTAATTATGATCTACAGAATTCGGAAAACATAAAGATTCAGAAAATAAAAGCAAGTATATAGGAACAATATTTAAATGAAAAAATATGTAATGACGGGCCAAGATAGTAACTATTTTATGTAGTAGAGGCAATCCAACTTTGTTAAAATATTGATTTTTACAATTTTTAGACATTTTTGATTTGTTGAGATTATAGATATTAAAAAAGAATTAGCTCCTAACTACGATAAGACTCAACACTGGCCTAAATTTTGAATGATTAAAGTTATAATAACGTGATGTATTTGAAAAAATAATTCTTTTAAATAAAATAAATTAATTAAAATTAATTGACCTGATAAACGTTGTCAGAGCTTGTTCATAGTCTCTAAACATCTGTCAACGTTTATTAGGCTTGCATAATAGGTCGATACTTTATTTTCTGTTTTTAGGTTCTAAGAGTTCTAACGTACTATGTGTACTGATATAGAATGTACTAGAAGTTTTTAAAACGTGACAACGCTGGAGTATACATTGCGTGACAGTAGGAACAGCTGTTCACACGTATCCGACAGTGTTGCCAAACTGAAAATTTGGAAAATAGGAAGAAGATATTTTGGGAATAATTATTCAAAGTGTATAAACAAGGAGGGCTTCAATCATTTTTAAAATAGTTATACAGTATGTCTGAAAAAGTTGTCAAGAAAAGGGAAATGTATTATTAATTTTAAAAAAAATATTCTTCATCACGTAGAAATAAAATACAGGGAAAATCAAAAATATTGATTAATGCTGATTTCTAAAGTGCTTTTAAATTTAATTACAGAAAAACAGTTATTTGAAAATGTTGATTGAAATTAAAGATGATGTCTAAGTTTAGAGCCTTTTAATAATTAATACATGCCTGATATACAACAATCTGAATGCTTGCTATAAATAAGGTCTTAATTATGAATGATTGGAATAGTCTAGTAGTTTTTTTATCATTGGTACTATTGGGATGGCAGCGCTGTCAGTACTTTTAAACTAAATGTAGTGGCTTATTGTTTACATTTTTGAGTTTATAAACAGCCCATAAAATGTATTTTGTTTATATTGTGCTTTTTCAAGGAAAAATGTTGTTAATTTTTAGAGATTAGACACTTTTATTTCAATAGTTTTTAGGTCAAAACAAAAGATATATTTTTAATTGGTAAGTAAACCCCCATAAATTTTGTTTTGGAGTTACTTTCATTCATTTATGTTAATTAAAGATATTTTTTCTGTGACGGGAAAAAGTTTGACATTTTATCTCTCGTCAGGTAACAAAATGTCACTTTTTATGAAATTAATTTTTTACCCGCTTCCCGGGTAATAGTGAGTACTTTTTCCCGGATATATATACACATAAGTAAAGGTAGATAGTCACGTTTCGTATAAATTCATATTTTTCCCAATTTTAATTATTTAAATAATACGTAAAACTTTGTTTAATTATGTCGACAATTTGTTTTAAATTGCAATCATGTGCGTGGTTGGTTATTTAATAACTATTAAACATTAGTTTCATAACAATAAACTGTGGAGAAGTTATAAAGGTAATGTCGAGGGGACGCGCTGGGCTTTTTCCACAGGGAAGGATCCTCCCCATAGGAGGCCCCCTTTTTAAATTAAGTCTTTTTTGTATTTTGAATAGCAGTTTTAATAGTCAGGCAAGAGTTGTGACATGTGCCCCAAATATTAGCGGAGTTGGTAAGTTTACATTTTGTGTACCTACTTGTTATTACATTGAGCCCATATTTGTGTGTGTCAAGCTGTGATCTATTTTGTATACTTACGTTCTGTAATGTGTGGAGGGTGGGTTACCCCCACGGCACCTAGGCCTCATTAGGTCCGTTGTGTATCCTCCTAAGATGATAGGCACCTCCTAGCTCGTGAGCCAGCCTATAGATTTAATGTAGTTGACAACGTCGCCAAGAGGTGCTTCTCATATATCGGCTGGTGTTAGCCGATACTCGCCGAACACAAATCTTCTAATAAATGAGAGCGTCGAGCAATCGTAAAGGATATGCTCAATGGTCTCATATTCTTGTTCGCACCCTCTGCAGAGTGCGGATTCTGACAACCCCATGATATGGAGATGCTTCCGAACTTGGCAATGACCAGTTAGAATGCCTATGACTAGGCGCTGATTCTGTCTAGTCACAGTCAAGTATAAATATATACTATATTTGTTTTAAGAAAACGTTGTTTCCTTTAATATTCAGATGTCTTAATTGCCGAATAAACCCCCTATATAGTTAATGGCCACGAAGCCAAGTTAAAGGCAATAGAAACCTTTCATTTATAAACCAAATCCTGCTGGTCGAGTTTCTAAAAAAAGTCGTTAGCTTATAATGTATAACCCGTCCTATTTATCCTTTTATTGAAAAATGTATAATTTGACGTAGGCGGACCCAGCTGGTCAACGGCCGGCGGGCCGCCAAAACGACACATAATTATTTAAAACACGTAAATCGTGAAATTTTTTTATCTTAAAACACGCATAACGTGACAATATTTTAGAATGTTTCCACTTGCATTTTATAAAATTACCCTACATTTAACAGCTTTAGGAAGCAGATGAAATGTAAGCTAAGAGTCAGTTTTTTTTAGAGCTGCTTTAAGACACACAATATGTTTTCCACTGATATTCCAATTATATTTTAATACATATGATAAAAATTTAAATCATTAGCTTATTATTAAATAAGATATTTCAAACAAAATACATGCTAAATTTTAAAACAACATTTATTGAAATAACCTAATAAACAGAACATCAAATGGCCACTATATTTAGTTAATTTTTTTACAGTAGAGGGTGTATCACTTATCTTCAGATCCCAATCTAATCTGTTTTCTAAAATATTCGATCTACCTTAATATGCATATCTGAATTATTCAACGTAAAGAATCATGGCAGAGTCAAATCAAAACATTAATAGTAACAAGGATACCTATCCATGTCTCAAATGTGGTATGTCCAATAAGGAAAAGAAAACTCTAAGTGGCATTTTGTACGAGAAATGGAATAAACACTAATTATTCTTAAATTACCAAAAAAATTATTCAAAAATGACGGTCGATGGTGATTCATTTCACACGGAGATGAGCCTATTTCTTAGAAATTCAGGTTGCATCACAGAAACTCTGATTTTCAATTGGTGAGATACTGGAGGTTGAAATTGGCAACATGTTACGTCTATGGTTCCTTTAATTTAGGTAAATAACGTAGGTAAGTCATTTAGAATTATTTTTCTGTAGATTTAATTAAATAAATAAAAACCAATTCATCCTTACAATAATATATTTATATGAATATCATAATACAGCACATGTTTTTATAAATACTTTTCACCAATTACTCAGAGCCCTGAAACAAATGATTATTAATTAATTATATGAGCATACAAAATTATATCGAAATTTAAATTATGAATTTTACTAATTTCAATTTCTCCATTTTTTTTAGCCAAATTTGCTTTTAAATAATGATTATATATTTCAAAAATATAGCATAAATCATTATGTGTTATCTGAAAATTAACATGTTTACTTCGAACGTAATATATATATATTGAAAAAACAAATCTTCCAGCTCCGTTGCAGATTTCCCGTGTTTAAATTTTTTCCTTATACCTATACAGGGTGTCCCGTAAATATACCAACTTACTTTTAGTGGTGGCAAGGGACATCAATTTTTTTTTGGCTTAATTGACATGTTTAAAAACAAACCTACAGAAATTGTGAAAATGTAATTGAACTATTGATTAAAAATATACATAAACGAAGCCTCATCAGCGAAATGTTTATTAATCCAAAAAAAAACATGTTTATTTTCAAAAAAGTTTGTATGTTTACGAAAATAGTACACAATAAAAACATACTAGGGGTTTTCTTTCCATTGAGTCTAGTAAAGTTAAACATAGTTTATTTACAAAAAAACAAAAACACTTATTTATATTTTTCAAAGTCCTCCACAGTCAATGCATTACATTCTCGAAAACATTTTCTCCAATCCTCTGGCCGTAGTTTGTCTTTCATTTTTAAAGGCCTCTTCGGCCGATGTAAAGCGTAAATCCTATAATTTATTCTTTACCCGCGAAAATAATTGGTCATTAGTTGCTAGGTCTTGACTATACGGAGAATGACCCATTATTTATACGTTTTGGGCATCCAAATATTAATTTGTTTGAGCAGCAGTGTGGAGCCCAAGTGTTATCTTGATGCAAGATTATCCTTTCTCTTGGACGTTTTTTGTGAACCTTTTGGAGAACCTGAACATGTTCCAAATAAGATCAATATTTTTGCTATAACTGCCGTTTTCGGCTTATGAGCTTAAAAACCGTCATTTAAGGAAAGTCGATCAAGTTGAAATTCATTATACCACTGCTTTATGATACCGAAGGAACACCAGGAGTTACCAAGCACTCGACTGCTTTTTCTCAAAACATTATGTACGGTTTAAGCCACGAATTGAAAAAAACTTACAGCCCGATAATGCGCCTTGTTTATTTCCATCACGAAAGGATTACTTTAAACTTATGTAACTTACAATCAGGTATATTTGACAACTGTCACTAAGTACACTTAAAACAACTAGATTGAAATGTCTGATAAAATTTGTTGCAAAAATATCATCGTCTACTAGATAGGCTCAGCGGAAAGAGAACACCCCTTGTATTATGAGTTGTTTTAAATTAATAACAAGAAATCATTTTTGTATCTGTTAAGAAGTTACAATAATTATATATTTATTACTATGTTGCTACATTTTAAAAACAATAATGCTGATAACCCATGATACTGCAAACTTCATAAGATATGCCTGTATATTTTATTCTTATCTGGCCTATAACTTGCTTTGGAAAATAAACTCAAAAATTAGTATACTTACAGTAGGATCACAATCAGCACAATGCCAGGAGTAACCTCTAATTTTAGGAGTTTTTTTGACAGGGGGATCCAAGCACGTAAAGTGGTAATTTTTAAGACACTCGTCACACCTAAAATTAGAAATCATTAAAAAAAATAAACTTAATTTTAATGGAAATGTATTATGTATGTACTTGGATTTTATGTACTTGTATGTTTGATGATATTCAGGCACTATCTACATCCATTGATATATCTCATTATGGAGATTTTAAATATTAAATATTTTCTACAATACGTTATTTGAATTCAAATAAAAACAAGTGGTAATAATAGTAATTCAAACGGATATTGAACATTGTTAATGAAATGTCAAAATATTTAATGTATTCTAAAATATTAGACTAGTTAATATACAGTGTCGGCCACTGAACGTTTTCCAATATGTTTGTGAAAACTACAGATAGCATTTAACCAGACCGCGTTGTGACGTTGGCAGTGCCGCATAAACTGGCATCGCTGATATTATTCGCTAACTTTCTGTAGTTTTCAATACACATAAGTGCAAACCGTATTGGAAAGTGTTCAGTAGCTAATATTGTATGATGTCAGCATCAGGAGACATTTAGCAGTTTCTCTTCCCATTATTCTGAAGATGACTAATATAATAATTGAAAGTATTTAGTGTAGTGACAAAACTGCTCAACTAGTGAGGAACAACCAAAGGTTTATTAATTATTATTAATTCCAACTTGATAAAAAAAAGTAACTCAAGAAATTTGTAAGAAAATAATCCAATTTTAATACTAAAATAGGTTTAACATATTTTCATCTCATATTGCTTTTTTTATCTAATAGATACCTAAAGAAATGATAGCTTTGTTTCAAATAGACAGAGCACATGGCATATGTATATGTTGGCATCTTATGTACTCCTTTGGTATTCACACGTTCTGTCTATTTGAAATAAACAAATAATTGATAATGAAGTTGATAATTGCGAAAGGTTTAATAAAAGATTTCAAAAAATTCTTTATACGTCACACATACTGCCATGACCCAGCAGTACTTTTTTCTAATGGAACAGACTCTAGATTATTGTTTAGTTTTTAATAATCTCATGCTATAAAAATATAAAATATCATACTTGACAGAATTAGTAGGTGTACCATCTTGGTGACAAACGTCGCAAGTAATACCCCCACTAGCTGCACCTCCTTTCTTGGGCGAAGTAACTGAAGGGTTTCTTGGCTTTTCTATAGCTTTTGGTGCAGACTCGGACAACCTTGGACTCCTGCTCTTTCTAATTTCTCTTTTTTCAATCTTAGCAGCCTTGATTAGAAGCGGCGGAGGAGGTGCATTATCGTCGGCCTCATTTGGAACGTAGAAACATTGTGGATTTGATTCTGAAGCAACTTCTCCCGCTGGCAGTGGAATCGGTTTAATCTAAACAGGAAAGCAGAAAGTGAACAAAATTAAAAAATTAAACATAAATTTATAGTGAATGGTGATGCAATGTTCTTAAACAAAGTTTTAGAAGTTCTGTTCAAGCTGTATTGAAGAAGTTCATTTCGATTCATAGTTCAGAAGATTGATTCATAATATATCTATACTGTTTATGGTGATTTCTATTAAGAAGTTTAGTTCAAGCTGCATCTAAGGAGGTTCATTTTAAGTTGTGTCAAGAGGTTTGATTCGAGTTCCATCTGAAGAAGTTTGTGAAGATTTGTACTATCCGAAGAGTATCGTTTCGAGTCCCTTCGAAGAAGGCCTCTACAAGTCACTCCTTATATGCTACCTCTTGGACCACAGATAAGTCAGTTGTGAATAAATCATCTAAATTTGAATAAGTAAGTCTCTGTGAATTAGAATTTGTTGCTAACTTATCTAAAACTTTATTTAATTATATCTTAATGGTTAGTGATTTTCTATATTTTTATCACTAATCGATAGTCAAGTTTAGTAAGTTTTAAATATAGTGGCTCTGAACATTCTTTTTCAAAGTAATACGAGTTATTTAATAACCTGACCCACTCCCCAAAATCATAAGAGCTTAAAACACTATAAAAAATAGATAAAATAACAAGTATCATGTTACAGTGTACAGGGTAATCCAATAATTAATTATGTAATTATTTATTAAAAAAAAGAAACGAAATCCGTCTCACAAAATAACATAATTATAATTTTTATTCGTGTATTTTTACTATTACATTTAATATATATTACTTAATTCATTATTTTGAGAGAAACTGACATGTTGTTTAAAAAACTACTGATTTTAAAATACCAGTAATAATAATAATAGCTTTATTGCCCAACAGTTTCCCATTTACAGGACAATATTCTTAATAATAAGTAAAAATAAAAAAGTGGTATCTGAAAATAAAATTATTAAATTACAAAAGTAATTTTACTTATAAGTTGTGATGTAATATATAATTACACGAAAAGTAAATAGAAGTAGCTAAATAAAAACTATAATAGAAAACAAATAAATATTGAGAAAAAGCCAAAATAATATTAAAGAAAACTTAAAAATTCTTACAAAAATAAAACAAAGATAATGCTATACATATAATATAATATAATATACCTGCTTATTACATTATTTCGTTAAGGAAAGTAACTGCATTTTTAATTAGTTCACCAAGAGAACAATGAAAAATATTGCAATGACAACTAATCTTATTTTTTCGTTTTTGTCCTAGGGCATTCGAATAGCTTGTTGGTTTTAGAATTTAGACGGGGTATATTAAATTTTATTTGTGACAAAATATCGCTACAATCAATAAAATAATTGTGTATGAGTTTAAAAAGAAAGATAAGCGAGGATATGTTCCTTCTTAGGCTCAGGTTATTAATATCGAATTGGTTACACAACTCCACATAATCACAACCACGTTCGGGATATACTCCATGAATTTTGAAAACTATAGGTATTTTAAAAATTTTCTTTGGACCCTTTCTATATCTAGAACGTAGCAGTTGTAATAAGGGTTCCAGATCGGATTACAATATTCCAGCTTAGAACGCACGTGGGTACTAAATAATAATTTAAGGGGTGTTACATTTGAAAATTGCTTGCAGTTTCTAATAATAAATCCATATATTCTAAAAGCTTCGGAAACTTTAACTTGAATATGATTTGAGAAGGTTAATTTGACATCAAAAATTACACCTAAGTCCCTAATAGTAGAACATCTCTCCAACTCATTATCTCCAACCGAATATCAGAATTGAATATTTTTTCTTTTCCTAGAGTAAGTAACAATCTTAAATTTTTAAGCATTTAGGTGTAACATATTTGTCTTACACCAGTTATTAATACAGTTTAAATTTCTCTGGAGCTCATTGCAGTGATCTGTATTTTTAATACTTGAGAAAATCTTTAAATCATCCACAAAACACAATTTATTACAACTAATTTCATTGTATAAATCATTAATAAATATTAAAAATAGTAAAGGTCCAAGATTTGAACCCTGTGGTACTCCAGATGTAACCCTAATTGATTCTGATTTAAATCCGTTGTAAATAATGAATTGTTAAATATGACTTAAATAAAGCTAAAATGCTGTTAGAAAAACCAGTCTCTAAAAGCTTTGAAATTAAGAAGCTATGCTTAACTCTATCAAATGCCTTCGAGAAATCCATATATATCACATCCACCTGTCCTTGGTCATCTAATGCATCTGCAATAAATTGGATAATCACAGTTAAATTTGTTACCGTTGACCGTTTGTCTATAAACCCATGCTGATATAGTAAAATGTAACTTCGGACAAATGGATATATACGATTATACAGAACGACCTCAAAGACCTTCGAAAATTTGCACAAAGTGACACCAGTAGGTACATATGCCAGGATTTTGCTCTACTTTGCCTCATTAATCAATTCTTAGCATTATAATCTATAACCAATTATGAAATGCTTTATTTTGTGAAATTAGCTAATATTTGCGGGAAAAGCGGAGCGAAGTCCCGTAAACTGTACTTCCAATCAAATATTTCAGAAAATGAATATTTGGAAATAATATCTAACTTCATACCAATCTGGATATTATTAAAATATTTAGAACTACAGTTTTCATTTTCTTGTCAAAGCTTTCAAAAAAGGTTGCATATCTGGATATGAATATTTTTAGTTTTTTGTACCATAAAGTTGCAACAGGTAAAATTATCAATTTTTTACAAAATTAGTTGCATAATGTTCAACTTTATGTAGTTAGTTCCACAAAGTAGATCATTCTGACACTTTCTGTGATTACAAAAGATGTCACAATATATATAAATGTATTACCTTAATCGTAATACGAGGATGTGGTAATATTTCTTCCATATCTAAACACTTCTTCTTCCTTTTTCTTTTATGCTCTCTAGCAACATCAGGAGAGTCTAAATTTCGACTCCTGTGCTTTTCTCTCCTACGTTTTTTACCCGATTTATGACTTCCCTCGTAACCATTATCAACTACAATTTGAATCCCATTCGTTTCTGACAATTCAGATAATAAATTAGAAAATGAATCTTTTGTTAAAGGCTTTTTCTCGGAAACAGAAGGCATTTCAAGAGTATCAACTGGTTTTATTTTTAATGTTGGTGGCGTTATAACATCTTGGTCTGATCTGCTTTCCCTATAAAACATTTACAAACATAATTTTAATTCAAGCATAATATTTAATAATTTAAAAAAAATAATAAAAACATAACTGCAATTCCAGAATTTCATTGAGGTTTGATATTAATACAATGTTAATCTCTTCAATCAACTATGAGTTAATTAAAATGAGAAATATATTTTTAGGAATACAAAATATTTAAACACTAACCTGTTACTATAAATGCTTCTACTTCTCCTGGGCGTTTTCATTTCTTCTACTTCAGAATCAGATGACTTGTCACATTCGGAACACTGCCATCCATATAGCTTAGACTTCTTAGGCAACCGACTCAGAGGAGGATTAAGACAATCCAAATGATAGTACAAATGACAAGTGTCACATTTTGCTAAAAGATGTTGATCCCTTCGTTGTCTGCAAGTGCCGCATTCATTCAACAATAGAGGATCTATAAAAAATGTAATTAGATTAGAATGTTGGTGCAATAAATTTTTGAAATATAACCAATTTAGATGGTCATGATTAAGAGGGATATTCCCACATTTGAGTTGTCTAACTAACAATAAGAAAACTGTCCAATGTTCAGAACTTCTCACTTTATTAAATAGTATATAAATATTATATTAAATAATGTATAACTATGTTAAAAAATATTTTGTCTATCTCTAGGCATTTAAAACTCAACAGCTGCTTGGGTATATTGAACATCATTTCTGTTTGTAACAGTTCTATGTCTCAATCGTAAAAACTATATATTTTTTTATTTTATAAATTAGAATCTTTATTCTACTGATTAACTAATATTTCTTTAAAATAATATAATAACATAAGAACGACAATATATAGTTAGCATTACCTAATTTAATAATCTTACATAAAATAAAAATCATGTTTCAATTACATAAATAATAAACTAAAATCAGAGCCAACCCTGGTAAATGCCGTTTAATGTCTTTTCAAGTATTCCAAAGACTTCCCCTTGACAAGCCTTGCACGAAGCAGTTGAAAACCTGGGCAAAATATATCTTTCTCACTTTGTGGAAAATATCCTAACTACTCCCACTCACAGATCTATTTCACTCTCACCCGCAAAAGCCTGTTTAAAATAAATTATTAAATAAATGCAAGCGCTAGCTCAACAAATTGTAAGACATCACTCTATCTCTCCACGGTGATCTTGGTATAAACCACACCATTTCTTTAAACCAATAACAAGACAGTGTCAAGGATAGACTTTTAGAGTCGACATGACAAGGCATTTTTTCAATGACCATTTAAACCTCCCAAGTGATAAAGAACAAAATCAATCTCCAGGCGAAACAGTCGCAACATTAAAACAAAAGATATATTCATAAAAGATTTTTTAAACCGACACGTTTTGTGTTCAGTTTTTTTATGTAAAAATATGTTCATCACTCAACTGTTATGTGGATATTGAATTCAAAGTGTAACAAGATAAAATAAAACCAGTTATCAATAGAAAGTACTACATTCGATAACAGCTTACAATTAATCAGCAAGACTTTCAACAAGATTAATCTCTTAGATACAGCCTACAACTCTACCCAATAAGACGGAAGGAAGTCTTACATAGACTGCGATAACTTAAGAAGAAACATCTCCGAACTGTTACAATTTGACTCCAGCAAATTTTAAGTTTCCGACTTGGTTTTTTAATAATTTTATTTTAAGTCTCTGGCATTTGAGTGCAAATAACATTAAACAAATGTCTACAAATTTCGATAATTATGTTGAGTCATAATAGTAAACATGAGTAATAGCCAATTATTGATGGGAAATATCATAATACAAATGATGAATATTAATAATATGGACGATTTTTTAATTCAGCTTAACATCATAAAGATTGCAAGAATTTATTTAATAAAGTAGTATAGATTTATTTATTTATACACTGTTCAAGAGATTTTAACCCAATTACAGAACAGGAGTACATTTGGAAGAAAACATGTTTAACAAAAAGCTTATAGATAATCAAACTAAAATTACAGTAAATAAATTCTAAATTATTTTAAACAATGTGTTTTTATATTTAATATATCCAATATTATTATAATTATTACACATGTTATACATAGATGAAAACTACAGAACTTTTGTCCGAGGAGTTGCAGTGTAAAATGATTCGACGTTTCGAGCATATGTAAAAGAGCTGCACAATTTATTTAAAAATTAACAACTTTGTAGAGGGTAGTTATAGAGAAGCACTTCTGACTTACGTCAAGACTTGTGAATATGTGTCTAGTCCGTAAAGCATTTTGAGTAATACCAATAGGTGGATAAATTTGGTCTGTTCGAAAACTTAAATATTTAAGGAAACTCTATCCGAAAAATGTGTATTTGATAATAAGGATCCCAAATAAACGAGGCAATTCGAGTTTAGATCGAAAAAATGAGAAATACAATGAATTAATAGTATCTGTGTTTTTAAATCACAGCCCACTCGTACTGTGAATCCATACTTACAGTTTGCTGCTGTTGAAATGTTATCTATGTGGTCTTTGAATGACAATACTGGTTCAAATGTAACCCCTAAATACATAACAATGTTGGGTCTAGAAAGCAAACGGCCATTAAGGACATAATCGAATATAGGATGTGCTTTTAATGTGTTTGACATTACATTTGACGGGATTCAGTGTTAGACCATTTTTGTTGCACTATTCAACAACTTTGTTCAAATTTTCTAACAACCGTTTACATTAAGAGATCTTTTCAATAGCTGAATATATTTTGAAGTAATCAGTATTCAACAAATAATCAACATTTATAGCGTCACCAATGTCGTTGATAAAAAATATTAAATAACAGCGGGCCCAAATTTGAACCTTGCCGTATACCAGATGTGGTTCAATATTTGCTACACTTGAATCCATTTAATTGAACATATTTAATAAGTAATGCAAGTTAATATTGGTTAAAGGTTCACGTATCACTTTTTATTAGTCATTTCAGTTGGTTTGAAGTTTAATTATTTTCTTTTTTCTTAATTAAAAAAACATACAATTTTAATAGTGTCAAAACCTTAACAAAACAAACTACATTCACAAAATAAGTGAATAATAATTCTCATTAAAGTTGTGCTAATTTACAAATACAATTTGTGAATATGCTGCTTTTGCCAATTTTATAAAATATGTTAAATCAATTGTTTTTTTGTAAAAAAATGATAAATAAATATTTACCTTTATTGGCATGACTGCTGAGCACCCTATCAGCCCTTCCTGATGGAATATTTTTCAAAGGAAATCCCACGCCCATTTTCAAAGCTGCTGCCGTCGGTACCATCATTGGTTGAGGTGTTCTACCAGCTAGAGGTTTACCCAAATCCTCTATATTAGGAAGATTTTTCATTGGACAAGCACTTAATATCACGGAATGGAATTTGTGAATGCTCTGTTTAAAATCATTATTCCTTGAAGTCGTTTCTGTGCTTTTCTTGAGAACCTAAATAAAATCAATAATTTGACATAGAGCAATAGTAGAATCTTGTCAAAATATAACGATCTGGCAAACATTAATCAATAAATTGTTGATAAAAATATTAGTTTGTTATAGTTAACAATTTTATTTTTTCCCAATATTTTCTTAACAGATTTTAACTAAAATGAGTAGTTTTACAATGTGGGGAAAGTTGCGTATTCTATGATTGACGTTTTTCGCTTTGTGTTTATCACTAAATTTATTGGCATTCTCGGTATCTACCGCATGTAGGTATATGCTTTTGGCTTTTCTTTGCCCAGGTTACAAACCTCAACTTTATATTAAGGTAATATTTGCCAGATTATCACATTTTGACACTTACATTCTGCCATTACTGTCTGCTTAATTTTTTATGTACATCTTAATTATTCTTTCCTTCAAAACACAGAAATAGTGTCCCACCACTTTTTTTCACCTACCTATTCTTTCTCTCTCAATTTGTAACCACATCAGTTTTCTAGTTGGATGTCATCCTGAACAAGTCCTAACCACATAAACCATTTTGATCATAGACGCAACTTTTAAATTGTCCCTAAGATTCTACATTTTAGATATTACCTATTATTACAGCACTCACCTATAGTACTGTGTGAAATAATGTGAGCAAAAAAATGAACATTTAAAGAAATAATTTATTTGTTACAAAGAAAAACTTGTTGAAAAACTGACCATAGGCATTCCGGTACTTTCAAATAAAAGCAGTCCCAAAACTAAGAAAAGTTGATGCCATTGGCAGGTTTGCAACAAAATTCAGACCCGTATGTCACGAGTAGAAGATTATAATGAAATATTTCAAGAAGAAAACGATTCCATGCGTTGAATGGCCATGAAAATTGGCGGATTTAAATCCTATCAAAAATTTCTGGGCTATTGTAAAACCTAGACTTCGTAAAATAGATTGAAAAACAAAAACAAAACTATAATTGAGACTGTAATTCATATATGGTTTCGAGACGAATAAATATTAGAAAACTGTAAAAAACTTGTTAACTCTATACCAAATCGTATTGAAAACATTATAAATACCAAGGAAGGGCATATTTCCTATTAAAACAATTTCATTTAAATACTATTATCTTTTTTTCTTTATAACCAATAAATAATTTCTCATCACATTAATTCACACAGTACTGTAATTTCTCTCTACTTTTACTATGTGACCACCCATTACTTTATTTTATTTGCCAAAGCTTTTCCATACAATTAAGAAGTAATCCACAAAAAATGTTTCTAAAGTAGGCTCTGGACATATGTCAAGCATACAATTCTTCTTTTTAAGTGTCAGTTAATTTTGAGCCGCACGTAGTAATCATGGACATGAGTCGCATCTTTGTGTTTGTTGGTCATAGCCTACCTAAAAACATTTTTTGTGGATCATTCTTTATATCATTAACACAACCTGTTTTTGATTATTACTGAAATTGCATCCTTATTAGTATTATGTTTTCTCCCTTCTAAATCTAGGGCCGTTTGCTAGGATCATAACTAGATTAAATATGTACTTGACCAAGATACAAATAAAGTTTCTTTTTTAAGCAGAATCTGCACACCACTTCAACTTTAACTTAACATTACTCTTGACTCTGTGACTAAAAGAATAAAATTGTGTACCAGAACAAACTATTTACCTCGTCATATTTCACCCTTAATTGTTTTTGTTCATCCAATAATTTCTTATTTTCTCCCATATAATTTTCAAGACTAGTCTTCATTTCCCTTAATCTATCATTCCTATCCAAATAGTACGCAATGAATTCTACAGAAAATGCTGGAGGAATGTGCCACTTTTTCCTAATGTCCACTAAAGCCGCGGTTTGAGATTCTTGCATTTCCTGAGCAATAGCATTGATACCCATAAGTTCCGCTTTTCGAAATAATTTTCTACAAGCTGCTGCACTAGTTGTCAGAAGACGAGGCATTTTTTGGGTAGGTACTTGAAAATAAAATATTAATAAATACAAAAATCTGATATGTCCAACACATGACTTTGCTGTCTATAGTTATTACAGACTATTTTGTACAAACTATCACCCCTGTAAATGTTTAGAGGATAAACTAAATACATACATTTTCCACATCCATCTTACTGAAAACATTTTTATATACAGGGTGCCCTGAAATTAGACGGTCATATTTTAACAGCGCAATCTACATCCTAAAATAGGAGTAAAAGTTTATGTAAACATAGGTCCGAAAACGTTTCTTTTCCGAGATACAAGGTGTTAAAAGTGAAGTCCTGATAACACACTTTTGTAAATATTTTCTAAACGTTTAAAGATAACTAAGTGAAACCTTAGTTTTTGATCATCTTCATAGGTGGGTAAATTAGGGGGACTTAGGGTAAAATTGCTCTAAGTTTTTTTTGTTGACAGTTTTTAACATTTTTGACTATAAAATTTGGAAAACCAATGTTTCCTTTGTAATAAAGCTACTTTTGTTGCATCTCGCTAGGACGCACCATTTTCAAGAGAAAAGCATTTGAAAATTTCATGATTAGTTGATTGTTATAAACAATAATTAGTAGATGTGGAATCAGAAATTTTTTTTTTTTTTTTACTTTGGAAAACCGGTCACTAAAGAAATTTTAGAAAATATTTACAAAAATGTGTCATCAGGACTTCACTTGTAACACACTGTATCTCGAAAACGAAACGTTTTCGGACCTATGCTTACATGAACTTTTACTCCTATTTTAGGACCTAGATTACGCTGTTAAAATATGACCATCTAATTTCGGGACACCCTGTATATTAATTTCAAATTTTAGTATAAAACAAATTATAGAGAATGACATCACAAACAATTTTTATCAGAAAAATTTTCTTAAAAATTTGAATTTTGCTCATCTTGTCAAATTTCTGGAATACGGACCATTTTAGGAAAATTATGTATAGGACAAAAATTATAGAGAATAACATTACAAGCTACTTTTAATTGAAGAATTTTCTCCTCCAAGCGTAAATAACAGTAGAAAAATGACTCCCTTTAAAGTAGCATTCTCAAAATGTCAACAATTTTTTCATGTCAATTGGATTATGGAATAATGGTAGTCGGACGAAAACATATTGTAAGCAAAATTTCCCTATTTGATTTTCAAATTATTCAGTAACTTTATATTAATTTATAACAAAACTTAAAATTATATTATAAAATTTAAAAAATCGATCACATGTGTACATTTTAAATAACTTACCCCATGGAGGTGGTTTCATCCCTTTATAACTTAAATAATGGCCTTTCTGCTTTTCTAACTTCCTTTTGATCCTCAGCTGCTCAGGAGTATCTTTATGACCGGCCTGAGAAAACTGATATTTTCTATAATGTGTTCTCAACTGAAGAGCCATGTAATTCCTTTTCCTTCTCTTCACCAAAGTTTTATCGGAATGTAATTTACAATGAGCATAGAACGGATCAGCTTGATCAACCTCTTCAGAATGAGCTTCAGAGAGAAAACCTTCCTTTTGAGCACTATTTAAAAATAACAATTTTACCTTAAGTGTGTATATTTTTATAACATTCAAAAATTTCATTTATACTGGGTGGTTTATATATAATTATTTTTAATTTATAAAAAGTGTCCCAAAACACACTTTGTTTATTAGATTTTTTATTCTGGACAAAAACAAGGTTGACTATACCTAGGTTGTATGTGTTTTGAAATAATTGATGATTTTAGAAAATGTAAGATGTTTGCGAAATGAACATATCTGATATTTTTATTTTATAGACTAGATTTATGTCTTCAGCTACTTATTTCCAGTAATATAATTTCACAATAGTGTTTCCATAGATCAGCATTATTCTTTTTTACTATGAAAATCTATAACTTTGGATTTTTAATGTATTAAGATTATTTTTCCAACTGTATTAGGTTTCCCTCTAATGGTTTCAGAGAAAACTGAATGTTAAATTTTATTAAAACGCAATATTTTATTTAAAAAATTAATTCATCAGAGGCTACTGCCATTTGATTTTTCGTAAGGTTTAAATTCGCCGGTTTGGTATGTACGATTGTCTTCAATACACTTATTTGGTACACTTTTAAAGCCAGAGCCGGATTAGACGACGTGGCGTAGGCCAAAATTTACAGGTATGAAATTATACATTCAGGTCAAAATAAATATACAGTGTATTCCTAAATGCCATGTCACTATTGCCAATTTAATTACTAAAATTTTATATAAACATGTGTTCCAAACTGTTTTTTTTTTTTTTTAATACAGGTAGTAAGCACCCATAACTAATAAGCTATTCTTAAAGTTAACTCAACAAACCCATTATAGAACTAATAGATATTAATTTTGTGTTAAATATTTATCTGCTCACCAAATACCGACGAGATAATGCATTGCGGACAAGCAGGCAAATTAATACATTATTAGTAAGGGCTGAATAGAATTTTTACTACAGAAACCAATAGCTTCTCAATTAAATATTTATGCAACCGTTTGAGTTATGAATATGCTGTTTGGGGCATTGAATTTTTCTATATAAATATCCTGATTGCTTAAAATTTCGAAAATATGTGACTTTCTAAATTTTTTTGAGAAAAAAGCTCTCAACGATATGAGACGCATTAGTATGCATTTGTATAAGATTCATGTACAAATAAATCACAGATGAACTATAGGATTTTAGATCGCATTTGGGGGAATTTTAACAAAAAAAAAAAAAAAAAAAAAAAAAAAAAAAAAAAAAAAAAAAAAAAAAAAAAAAAAAAACAAAAAAACAAAAAATCAGCTAGCAAGATACGGTTTGTCCTGCAAAATTTTTCTCTAATAGTCCTACAAAATGTTATATACAAATAGCATGATATCTCACAATTTGGAAAATCGGTAAGTGATTTTCAAAATTGTTGAAGTACTTTGGAGGCGCTTCCATTAGAGGCAGACAAATATTCATTTGCGGAATCTACACAAGGAGTTCTATAAGATGATATTAAAATCAAATGTTAACAGCGGTTTTGAGGCACTTCCCGTAAAGATAGACAAAAATAACACATTTTATCAAAAATCAGAAGGGAAACCATCGATTTTTTGTGAATTTATTTAAACCTCTATATCTACGATATTCTTAAAGTTAGCTCAACAAACCCATAGTGATTCGGAATTCACTCAATGAGAACTACAAAATGTTATATTACACGATATTAATCGGTTAAAACTAATCGAGATACAGCGCTATTAAATTTAATTATTTTCAAAAAATTCCATGCTCACCAAATATCAACGCGATATGTATAACGTTCAGATACAGTGAAATCAGGGTTGCATTATTAATTTCAAAATTCAGCCACTTTGACTTAATTTTTAGTAAAATTGAAGCGATGTTAAAATTGTTCTAAAACCATAAGAGATAGGTATAGGGAAACCCAATTTTTCTTGGAGTCTAAAAATATACCATTTATCCTAACAAAGTTAGACTTTTAAAGTTGTTCGACAGTTTGTCAGTTATGTCTATTTTACAAATATTTCACCATTTTGATTTTGTTACAAAAAAAGAGATTTTCAAAAAAGTAATTATTTTGAGAGCTACAGTCCAACGCGATAGTCAAGAATCACCTGTATACACATTTCAGACAATGATGAAAGAAAAGTCTGTTTTATCAGTAAAAAAATAGAGAACAGGAAAATATTATTGAAATAAAGAAGGGAATCCAACAGCTCTAATGTGGTTATCTTAGCCTGATATCAAGGAAACTCAAAATCAATTCCACATAATGTTTTTATTATTATAATGTGGCGGGCATTTTAGGCTACATAGCCATCATGAGGTCTGAAATTAACAGCTGGTAGAAAATATTTAAAAAAAAATATGGTTGAAAATTAAAAGTATAGTTGTCAAAAAAATCTATAGACCTCTATTATTAAATTTTGGTAATCGCCCAAACAATATTGAGAAGGATTTAACCGTAAACACTTAACAAAGGAAGTATTAACGATATGAGGGCATACATGTGAGGGCCCATGTGAATGTTGAAAGAATGAAAATAAATTCTAATTTTTAGAGGTTGCACTTCTCCCTGTTTCTATTGTTGAACTATGTTAACTTATAATCATGCAACAATCGAAACATAGTGAGTAGGGCAACTTTTAAAAACTTATAAATATGATTATAAACAAATATAAAAATAACCTTATAGGAGCAAATAATTATTCAGACTGACACAAGATGTAGTGTTTCTTGGTAAGTGAAAGTAGTAACAACTCGTCAAAAGGGTAATGAAAAAAGAATAAACCGACTTTACAATCTCCTCTAGCTTCCACACTAGTGGAGAATGCAGCAAAATTCCGTCTTTTTGCAGGTACAAGATATTTTTCAACTTGTGTTGACCAATTAGGGTATATGAAAGGATACTGGGCGATGCCCTGCCATAGCAAAGGCAAAATCAATACGGTTATTACACAGTTAAAACTTGTAGCATGGTATAATAGGAATTTTAAAATATAGAACTTTTGGATATAAACACAAACTAAATCAATATTTCTTACCATGTGACATGAAAATATGTTCTACACATCCCAGCATCACATCCAATACACACCCCAGTTCTTGCAAACCTCTCATCTTCACATAGTGAACAACTTTTAGAACCCCACTTACTATATGGCATCTCAAATAAGGTGACACTAGTCAATTTGTCTACCTCTCCAAATGCTACCCCTGGTATATAAAGAGCACATACCAGATGCACCCATTTACCAACATCTGTCTCTTTGAAAATGCCTCCAGAGTTGGGACACAACTCACAAATTGGTTCCATCACACCTAAAATGTTTACAAAATAAATTGTTATGTACTTCAATAAACATTTTCACACATTTAAATTAGAAATTACTATAATAAACATGAAATTCCAATCTACCAACCATAGTAGTTTTCCTCACCTGCTTTGCATGATTCGCAGAACCAAGGAGTTGTTGGTGACACTGAGTCAGTGCTAGCTAAACTATTGGAATCAGATATACCATAACAAGCTTCATGTACTGTTGCTCCACATCCATCACATTCAACAATTTCATTGACACCATCACTGTGGTCCCCAAGACAACCACAACAGATCATGATTTGTGCATCTTTTTCATTTAACTAAAACACAAACTCTAATTAAATTTAATACATTATTATAAAATCGTTTGGACTTAATAATCAGATTATATTAGATTTATATTTCAGGATATTTACCAATTTTTATAAAACAGCATGTAGGTACAATAAATTATTTTCTTAAATATTAAATATTTTTATTAAATATCAAATAAGTTATTGTAGGTGTATTTTCATATTAATTTCAATATATTTTGTCAATAAGAAGTATATAAAAAATAACTTTAATATACTTATAATAATGTTACCTTGATTTTGGATTGAGTAGCTGCACATTGAATAACATCAGCTATAGATAAGCCCATTCCGTTAGTTTTTGGAAGGCTTAAATTCCTCATCATCTCTTCACCAGAATCTTCAGATTCATCATCTTTATCACTACTTTCTCGTCCTAAAAAAGAGTATGAATAATCGAAAATTCTGGCAAAACACAAATACTAAAAATATGACATGGGTATTAGATTTCAATTAATTATAAAAAAAATCATCAATAAAGCTTTATTGATTAATTATGGAAAATAAATGGATTTATCATAAACTATTAGCCATTATGAACTACAATTATTTAATAATGTTAACACAACAAGATAGGAAATACAAAAATTATTGTATTGGAATTAGTGGTACCTTTCAATTCATAATAAATATAATAAAGGAAACGAAAAGAAAAAATATTGGGAAACTACTATCATTTTAATAATAACAAATTGTACTGGCTGAAGGACCTAGGTCGATGGCTATTTGGTTGTAAAATTTATAAATAATAAAGTGCTTTTATTATTATTAATAACAATGTTTATTTAGCAAATCTAATACATAAAACATTATTTCAAAACAAGAAAATTCTTAAATATAAAAAAATATTTTTTAATGGTCTAAATCAGGTAAAAAAATATTAAGCTTTCATTCAACTGAGGGATAAAGAAATTTTGGAAGTGATAGATATAAATAAAAAAACAGAAACAATTAATTCCCTTGACTACAAAATACATGAAAAATAAACTGCAATGGTTTTCACCATATCATGCATATGCTTAATAAAACAAAGATTTTTTACTTTATAACTTGTTTATGTCATTGTTTTAAAATAACACTAAGATTTTCTTAATTCGTAATATAAATGAAAATAGGTATATTTAAACTTAATAAATTTATTAAAAAAAAAAACATTGTTTTAGTAACTCATTATTTCACCCATGTCAAATGCCATCTTTTTAATTAATTAAAATTAGTTTTGTAGGGCAATTGTTTTTAAAATTCCAGCTTCATATGAATACTGGATTGAACAAAAAAAAGAAAGAAACAATGTGTATTTATTTGTTACTTCATTGGTTTTTGGATATTTTTTTTTACTAAATACCTCACATCAATATATACAAGAAAATAAGAAAAGTCAATATTAAATCAGATAAGAAATATATGAGCACAAAATAATGTCAAGATATTTAGGTAAACAATAATATAAAGATTAGTTGTCAACCAAGTTATCTAACATCTTGAAGCAGTAATTATCATTATCATAAAATACTTTAAATTGATTTGATTGATTATAAATAACTTATCATTTACTTTTTCTCAAAAGAGTGTTATTTATTTATTTACATGCAAGGTCCAATAAAATAAATAATATTAAAACAATAAAATAACATTAATGTAGGTAATAAATGTAATTTTAATAATAATATTTTGGATACAATGTATTTATAAAATAAATTTTAGGTGGAAGATCAAGGTAACCTGAAATTTCAAAAATATATTTTTACCACAAAATAGCTACACTAAAATTGAAACATAATTAAACTAAGTAATAAAAGATTCTCTCTTTTTTGCTTATGAAAAAATTAAGCATATGTACTTATAGGTATCACTATTGTAATTGTAAACAAAAAACCTCCGTTCCATATTTTGTGCAAATTATTATGACAATATTTCACAAATTGTCTCAAAGCAAAGCTCAGAGATGCCAAGTCACACAAAAAGTTTACTATTCACATATTTATTATCAAAAATACAGCAATTCATTTCTAATAATGTTCCTTTCTATAACAATATTTTATAATATAATAATTATTGGCATTATTTTACCCACCCAGAACCCCTATTCACTTTCTTTCCCCTATAATTGATAATATTAATTGAAAAAATGACATATTTTTATATGAAAAATTATATGTCATTATTAATTTGTAAAAACTTAAGTTTTTTGTTTACAATAGCAATACCTACAAGTATGTATGCTTAGTTTTTCTGTAATCGAAAAGAGCTCAAACTAGACATTTACCTATATTCTAACTGCTAGTTATAAAATAAAAATGATTCTAATGAAAATACCGATAATTATGAGATACATATATATCAAGATATAATTTTTCAAGAGCTTTACATTCATAGAGGAAAGGCCTATTAGTTACTGGGGTTCACACTGCAACTACTACTTTCATTCTCTATAAATTCACACATTCAAACACTTATAAAGAAAGATAATATGTATGTCCTAGTATACACTTACCATTACCTTCCCCTTGACTATCCACAGAGTCATCATCATCACTAACTTCTGGATGATCTTCTATTCTAAAATCACTATCATCAGAACTTTCTTCGTCAAAGTCTAGGACACATGTTTGTTCCACCGGCTTGACTTTCCGTTTATTCGGATCTCTCTCAACTGAAAAAACATAAGTATTTAATATCTTGAAGACAGAAACATGACACAACTTTCTAAAATTTTGTCCATGAATTTATGTTACACAGTATATATTATATTAAAAAACGATCAGTAAAGATGGAAATAAGCATATAAATACTTACTACCACTCATTTCAACAGTAAAATTAATTTCCTCACAGGTTTTTAAATTAAAAACTTATGACATATTGAAAACATAACCTAAGTTTCCGGGCGTCACGGCGTCACTGTCGCTTTTGTCATAAGTCATAACACATGATAGGCGTTTTGTTGTAGTAATTCAGTATCAGGAATGAATAACTGTTTCAATTGGTTACCGTTAATCACGTGCCTTGACATTGTCAGTATTATTGGTCAATTAAATGTCATGTTGATGTCATGATAACTATTTGTATCTAAAGTCAGAGATTATTTGTTAGAGTATTGATATGCATCATAAAGAAATGAACCACAACTTACTATAAAACGACATAAATTCAAATATTACTAAAAGATAAAGATATATTCGGGTTTTGAAGCTCGACTTCTTTCACTCTAATGACTCCGAACCACCAATCTCAAATCACCAAACTTATCAAAAACGTTCATTTATTCATGAAGTGAAAAGTGAAGTTTTATGTCATTACATTATTGTCATTTGTCAATTTACTATTTTTTTTTATAAAATGCATGGAAAAAATGTTTCTATTATTTAGTTTATATATAGAACATTTCTGTTCTAATATTTAGTTTACAAAATTTTGTGTTTTTATAATTTCATAAACGCTATATGATTCATGCGAATAGAACCACAGGAAAATAAAAAAAAATCATAGCAACATCCATCTGTATTATGAATGTTTACTACGCCCATGGTATGTACAATCTACATATTCTTAAACCGTTAAAGATAGTATATTTTATACAATTCTATATTTGTTCTTAGAAAATCTAAGAGATCCAGGTGTAATAAGTGATTGTGACACAATGGCTGAACTAGCTGCTCTACTGAGATCAGAAATTCCAGAGGGGCGGAGCAGTCTTTCAGAAAATCACACAAATCTTCAAAGAGTAGCAGAATACTGTGAAGCAAATTATTTCCAAAATGAGAATAAGCGGATGGCATTGGATGAGACCAAAAATTATACAACACAGTCATTAGCTAGTGTGGCTTATCAAATTAACACCCTTGCTTATAATTTTTTACAATTATTGGATCTTCAGACCACACAGCTAGCTGAGATGGAGAGTCAAATGAATCACATTTCTCAGACTGTTATGATACACAAAGAAAAAGTAGCCAGAAGGGAAATTGGGGTACTAACAGCTAATAAATCAACAAATAGGCAATATAAAATTATTGCACCTGCAAATCCTGAAAAACCAATTAAATATTTGAGGAAACCCATTGACTATACAAGTAAATATCTGCAACAATATGTCGCATTAATTTTTTTTATTACTATTAAACAATATTTACTTTTTAATTAAAATTAATTTTAGTATTTGATGAAATTGGTCATGGGGTTAGAAGTGCCGGTACTCCTAGGCAAAAGCAAAGAGGGTCTAGTCAGGGCAGTATACAATCTTTAAATTCTATGCAGGGAATGCAAGGAAATCCTATGGTTGGTCCTGCTCCTACTACTAAACCACCTACACCTCCACAAGTCTCAAGAACTTCTAGTAAAGGTTTGCTATTTTAAGTTCAAATTGCTCAATGTTCATTTTACCACAATACACTTTTTATTTTAAATACACTTGATAAATGTAATTTTTTTATCATAAGTGTATTTTAAAAATTACATTTCATTTACTAACCTTTTCTATTATTTATATATCAAAGTCATGAATCGCTCAAATCTCAATAGATATATATGATCATTAAAAATCTTCAATAGATTACTTACCAAGCTTGCAGTAGTTGTGCTTTTCAGTATATTTTATAGAAAAATTACACTAACAAATATTTTGAAACACAAGTATTTTTACAATATTTTTTATTGGAACAATGAAATCATTACGTTTTGGTAAACAGTTCTTTTGAAATTGACAATTAAATTACTTTTGTAAATTTTTCAGTTTCTGTTTCTGGTGGAACTTTAAGTAAAGGAAGTCGTGAATATAGAACTCCACCTGCAGTAGCTCCACCACAGGTAATTTGATTTTAAATAAGTTTCTTTTTTAGTTTTATTTTTACACTCCTTTATTTTTAACTCTCACTCATATTTTACAAAAATAATAAGTTTTATAAAAATTAGTTATTACCTTCTTATTTTTTTTTTTGTAATGAGCAGAGCCTGTATGTTAATAGGCCATTCCAGGTGTCTTCACTTCATCAAACCATTTGTTGATGTATATTGATAAACAGAGAGTGGAATTACATAATTGGGGTAAAGGCCAAGACAATTGTAGTTATACAAATGAAATATTAAAATTACTAATTTATTTCATACCTATCATTTTTGCTCAAATGTCTGAATGCATTTAGTCTGCTGAATCCACAACTGTTATTTACATCCTAGCTGATATGATGAAGGTGTGAACCTCAAAAAATTAACATACAATTTTTTCTAAAAACAGTTAAAATCTAATTTTTTCTGCATACAAACCCAAAATTTAAAGAAAATATTTTTGGATTAAGATACATTTTCAACATGAACGATCATAGTTTGAATTTGGGGGCTGGCATTTAAAAATAGTTACAGATAAGATCAAAATCTAATTTTTGGGATATTTAGAATGTACTTAATCCTCTCTAGAGCGAGATGAAAAAAATTATGTTAGAATAATAAATTATGTTTAAATAAAACATGTTAAATGCATGTATTAATTTGAGGAAACTAAAAAAAACACTTGTGTAAACTTTTTTTTTATAAATAGTTGGTCCATAACTATTAATGCCATCTGGCATTATTATTGGACCAACTTTTAGTTAAAAAAAAATATATGTGTGTACTGAACAGCTTTTTTTTCTTTTTTAGTTTTCTCAAATTGTTAATACATGGACTTACGCTCGTTTAACATAGATCGATTCAGTTAGAATTTACGATTAGTTCTACATATGCCCAAAATTTCAAATATCTTTAAAACAATTTTTTTTTTTTTTTTTTTTTTTTTTCATTATGGTTCGGTCTGAACCGTCATAATAGTCCTATCAAATAGACCTTTAAATGAAAATTTTGGAGGAAATACAGGAATTTTTGATATAAGTCACTTTAGAGTATTTGAAAATGATAGGTAAAAAAATTTTGTTTTTCAGGCACCGGCAAATGTCAAAAAACAAGAAAATAAAGTGTTTTTTTGAGGTTATTTAAAAAAGGTAGGTGCTATAAAAAAATGTTTTGAATAAAAATTGTAAAGCATAAAGTTTTACATAAAAATGATATTAGACATATTTTGATATTATTAAAACTGACAGAGTTAGGGTGGTTAGAATTTAGGAAGAGATATATATGACTTGGAAAAATCATAGCGAGCTGAAAATTCAATGATTTTGTAGTTTCTTTTTATTATTTACTCAGAAAATTATAAATTTCTTTTAGGAATTTTTTTTTTGTTTTTTGAGTTATAACAATTTTAATTTAGAAATGTTATTATACGAATTTATATGATAAAATAAATTTTGATGTAAACTTATTAGCTTGACTGACATGAAAAATATGAGGAGTGAACTAATAAAAACCATATCCAACAGTTTGGTCCCCACTTAAAGTTCCATTAAATAAATAAACACAAACAAAAAAAAATAAACAAAATAAAAATAAATATAAAAAATTAATAAATAAAAATGGATAAATTAAAAAATATATAAAAATAAGTAAATAAAAATAAATATATAAATAAAATTAAACAAAAATAAAAAGATAAAAGTTAAAGAAAATAAATAAAAATAAATCCAAATAAATAAAATATGATGGTGGGTGAGGTTTTCCGGGTTTTCCTCACCTGTAAGTCAAATGGCACCATCAATCATCTTTAAGTCGCCCCGGAGCGCTACGGCAAATAATAATAATAGCCGTCCCTTTCCCCGGACAAGCTCAGCTTTTGGGGTTAAAATTCACTCGTAAGGGGGTGAATTAGGGAGAGTATTATTATTATAAATAAAAATAAATAAAAATAAATAAAAATAAATAAAAATAAATAAAAATAAAAATAAAAAAAAATAAATAAAAATAAATAAAAATAAATAAAAATAAATAAAAATAAATAAAAATAAATAAAAATAAATAAAAATAAATAAAAATAAATAAAAATAAATAAAAATAAATAAAAATAAATAAAAATAAATAAAAATAAATAAAAATAAATAAAAATAAATAAAAATAAATAAAAATAAATAAAAATAAATAAAAATAAATAAAAATAAATAAAAATAAATAAAAATAAATAAAAATAAATAAAAATAAATAAAAATAAATAAAAATAAATGAAAATAAATGAAAATAAATAAAAATAAATGAAAATAAATGCAAATAATTGTAATTAAAAAAATAAATAAATCAAAATAAATTAAAACAAATAAAAAGAATTAAAAATAAACAAATATAAATAAAAATAAATTAAAATAAATAAAAAAATAAAATAAAAATAAAAAAATAAATAAAAATAATTAAAAATAAATAAACAAATAAATAAAGATATAAAGATAAATAAAAATAAATAAAAATAAATAAAAATAAATAAAAATAAATAAAAATAAATAAAAATAAATAAAAATAAATAAAAATAAATAAAAAATAAAAATAAATAAAAATAAATAAATTAAAATAAATAAAAATAAAAAATATTCATTTTTATTTTTTATTTATTTTTTATAAATAAATAAAAATGAATATTTTTTATTTTTATTTTATTTTTATTTGTTATTATTTATTTTTATTTCTTTTCATTTATTTTTATTTACTTTCTTTTACATTTATCTTTTCATTTATTTTTGTTTAATTTCTATTTTTAATAAATTAGGTACTTATTTTTATTTAATTATTATTAAATTTTTTTTAACTATTTGAAATTATTTTTATTTTTTTTATTGTTTTTTTATTTTTATTTTTTTTAATATTTTTATTTATTTTCTTATACATTTATCTTTTTATTTATTTTTTATTATTTGTTATTTTTAATTTTTTTAACTATTTATTGTTTTTTTATTTAAATTTTTGTTTATTTTTTATTTATTTTTTATTTTATATAAATAAATAAAAATGAATATTTTTTTATTTTATTTTTATTCATTTTTATTTATTTTTGTTATTTATTTTTATTTATTTTTGTTTAATTTCTATTTTTAATGAATTACCTATTTCTATTTATTTTTTTTTAACTATTTGTAATTATTTTAATTTTTTATTTATTTTTCCTTTTTTTTTTATTATTTATAATTATTTATTTTCTTTTACACTTATCTTTTCATTTATTTTTATTTATTTTTTATTATTATTAATTTTTTTAACTATTTATTATTTTTTTGTTTATTTTTAATTTATTTATATTTTATTTATTTTTATTTATTTTTGTTTAATTTTATTTATATATTTATTTTTATTATTTTTTTAAAATATTTTTATGTAGTTCTTTTTTATTTTACTTCAAGTGGGGACCAAACTGTTGCGATGTCGTTTTTATTAGTTCACTCCTCATATTTTTCATGTCACACAATAATTTACCATATAAATTTGTATAATTAATTGAAAATTTCTAAATTTAAATTGTCATAACTTAAAAAAAAAAACCAAAAAAAAATAATTTTTCCTAAAAGATATTGATAATTTTCTGAGTAAATAATAAAAAGTAACTACAAAATCATTGAATTTTCAGCTCACTATGATTTTTCCAAGACATATAAATCCCTCTTAATTTCTAACCACCCTAACTCTGTCAGTTTTAATAATAGCAAAATATGTCAAATGTCATTTTTATGTAAAACTTTATGCTTTACAATTTTTATTAAACACTTTTTTTATAGCACCTACCTTTTTTAAATAACCTCAAAAAAACACTTTATTTTCTTGTTTTTTGACATTTGCCGGTGCCTGAGAAACAATTTTTTTTTACATATCGTTTTCAAATACTCTAAAGTGACTTATATCAAAAATTCCTGTATTTCCTCCAAAATTTTGATATAAAGGTCTATTTAATTGGACTAATAACTTCCGACACATTTACAATAGACATGATTTACAACATGATTCCAAGCGTTTTAGTTAAAAAGCTCTAACTTATTTTTTTGGGATGCCACTCCCTCTATTTACCTTTAGGCGATGGTGGGAGTAGGATTTTTATACAAGAACATTGTAAATCAGGTCTATTGTAAATGTGCCAAAAATTAGATTTGTATCTCCTATTTTTAAATGCCAATCACACATCTGAATTATAATTTTCATATTTATGGAAAAATACATACATATACCAAGTTTGATCTCATTATCTCAACCCAAGAGCAGGGATGTACATATCGCGGCCCGCTGTCAATATGTATGCTTCCTGCCAACGAATTTTTATCATTGTAATTCATACTAATTAAAAATAAAAAAAAAATTGTCAATAAGTATTGTTGTATTGGCCCATCCTTGACTTATAATTTCCCTATAAGTATGTCCATCCCTTCCCAAGAGCTTCACCCAACCTTTAGTTTTAGCATAAAAGTACATCCTAATATGCACCAATTAATAAAAAGTGATGGTTGTTTATTTTAATATTCCTAATATATCTAAGGTGCCCAGCCACTATGCACCCAACTATCCCATTGGTCATCCGCGTCGCGAGAGAGGCCCTGGTTATGGAACTCTTCCAATGACTGGTGCTCATCAACCTGGACCACAGGTCGGCATGGTTCATCCAATGACACAGCAGCAACAAGTAGTACAGCCCCAGACACCGCCTCCACCTCCACCTCCTGATTCCAGAAATTATATGCAGGAGCAACATTTGAGCATGCCACGTGAGTATTAACATCTGTATTTTGCATCCTTCAGTCATTTAACTTATTTCATATTTCAAAATTGTTCATGTTTTTTTTTTAAATAGCTCCCCCATCTCCATTAATAAATACTCAGGAGATGGTACTTTCATCCAATCAACATCACCCTATGATGATGGGTGGTCAACATGTTCCAGTCCCACAAGGCAGTCTGGGTATGCACACATTATCCCATGCTCAAGGGCATCGCATTTCTCAACAATTAGCAGCGAACTTTGCTAGGCAAAATAGTGGAGCACAGTCTCCGCCTTTACCACCACCTCCTCCTCCAGAAGATGAACATGAGGCTTTTGGAAGACCACATTCTTCAGGCGTTATGCCTATTGTTCCAGATGAGGAAGATTTACCGGGATGGGTGCCTAAGAATTATATCGAAAAAGGTAGCTTATCAGTTATATATCTATTAATTATTAATCTAAAAAAATAAACAATAATTAAAAAAATATCTTAGGGATGGTGCTGGACTTAATAATTTTAATTTATTATTATTATTCTCTAGTACAACAAATAGACCTTCCACTTTGTATCAAAATCATCAAAAGAGTGTTTTGATTATTAATGAAAAACAGATTTAAAAATAACAATAACAAGAATAATATAAACTCAACTTCTAAAATGTGGTTTCATCTATAAAGCCATTTTCAAGCCTAAAAATAACAATGGTAGTTGAAAATAAGTTAATTAGATAGAATACAATATACTAACCTAAGATCTTAGATGGTTTCCAATATTACAAACGATAAAACGTCATTAGTGAATGCACATTAAATGAACAATAAAAATGAATATGTTACTAGTAGAATAATTATAAAGTGACTTAATCACATTAGATGAGTTAAATTACATAAGTGAGAAATGATAAAATAAACATAAATTAACAATTACTTAAAGTAAAAGTAGGTAAGGTAAGAGCAAGTTATTTTTGTTGAACCAAGTGAGTGGAAGAACTAAGTGATGTGTATTCTTTACCACTGTTACTGTGTTTGTCAGTGGAACCATAATTACATCATAACTAATTTAGCATCTAGGCAAAGGAATTACCTGCTTCAATATGCTAAATTAGTGATGATGTAATTTTGACAGTAGACTTGTTATAAATATATTATGCTGAAATTTTTTATTATTTACTTGCCTAATATTTTCAAAAATAAGTAAAAATGAGTAAAGTTAAAAGTTGAATAAGTTTTAAAACAGAAATATTCATTAAAATTTATTTTCATTTATCTTCAAGATTGAATTCATTTAAACCACAGAGCTACTCTGTGATTTAAACAGTAAATAAATTAAAACTACTGTTACACTGGTTTTTGGTAAACTCAATTTATTTCCAAACTTAAACTTTTACAATATACCACAATTAACATTAACATACAATGTCTATCATATAACTGAAACTCTGACATCAGGATCACTGACTATGTTTCTCGACGCGGAATGACATTTCTAGACTTGTTCTCTCATCTTCTTTTATTCATACATTTACCTCAGCACACTGTAGGATGATGGGTGACATTGCACTTCTTTTATTCATACTTTTCCTTTAACAGCCGCAAGCTACTGCAGGGTGCAGGGCAAGAAATAGTTAGCTCAAGGGACCTAGTTGCTTATGTTGATTTTCATTGAACAATTGAATCGGTTATTTGGAAAAGGGCATAAACGACATTTTCGGCAATTTTCGTTTTATGCGATTTTTCTATATGTAGTTTTATTGAACGTGAACCATTTGGTATGAAAAAGGAACAAAATATCATGCTAGAACTGCGTTAACTAAATACCCGTTTCACTGGGTTTGCCTCGAAAAGATCACATATGAAACAAAAATGTGACCTTTTCGAAATAGACGTTTTGGCGTGTCATCACACTTTAGGCTGAGATTAAATTGTTTGTTGTTAAATCAGCAGTGAATTTTTGTTGCGATTTGTAGTGTAAACATTGTATAGGTGGGCTCATTCCATCATGTTTTTCACTAGCAAAACCAGCCTGGTCCAAGGCGAATCTTCCTGCTGAAGAGGCATATAAATCATATATGTACTGTCAAAGTCCTCATCAATATAAAAAAGTTAACAATTTGAAATCCTCAATCCAGTATAATCCATAGTTAAACAAAGAATGTTACAGTATTATATTAGAATGGCCAATAGCGGTCTCTAAAGAGATGGCTGAAGATTTTTATGAACATTCTTTGCTATTATAAAGTTACTTAACTTACTAAATAATATGTGAAACTATAAGTAGTTTTATTCTAAATAAGTTTGGAAAAGGGCACATATGAAATAAATATAAAAATATTTTTTTGATATATATCCTTCAAACATCCATGAAAAATAACTGTAATTAACTTCCTCACGTACAAATGAATATACAGTGTGGGACAGCCAAATGGAATAAATTCGGTAATAAATAAATGGGGTCGCTCGGACACGTCAATTGGTATTTTTTTTCTGATTTATTGCAAAAATTAACATTAACAAAATAAAATTGTTTGATTACAGAAACTCGCTATGATACACTTATTCCCCATTCAGGTCTTGATAATGAGAAAGTAAGCAAAAACCATTTCAACGTTCCTTTTTACTAATATGAAATAAAAAGCTATACTTAAATAGATTTGTTTACTTTTGTTTAAAACCCCTGACCTTAGCAAATCGTTATCTGACTGCCTGACAGTAGTTGTCAGTGCCATAGTCGTTTGAATTTCCTTAACTGTATATCAGAAAAAAGGTTCATTTAACAGAAATGGACAAAATAACAATTCTACAGATGATTGGTTATGGAGATAACACATGGACAAATGGAAGTTGTTCGCTTATTTCAATGTAACCCCACTTATGGTGTACAAAAGGTGAATCCTTAATTTATTTATACACGTGAATAACGATACTTTAAGACAGGTATGTGCTAGACTTAACATTCCCCAACTCTCAGTTGCTATGAAGAATTTTCGAAAGGTATCCTAAGCTACTCCGCTTTCACATATACCACAACTTTATTAATAAAAAATCTTTCATCTTCTCCTAACGGTCTTGATTCCAACCACCATTTTCCTAAGACATCGACGGTGCCGTCAACTCTATAAATGTACCCATTACTAATTGTACAACCCTACTAACCCTATACCTACAAAAATATTCGAACTAAAACTAATTAATTATAAAGAGCTTGTTACTCAATTGACTATGATGTCATCATGCTTACAGAAACGTGGCTTAACATTAGTATTAGGAATTCAGAATGTCTTAATATCGATCAGTTTGCTATCTAGATTGCTATGCTAGATTGTCAACGTGGTGGAGGAGTTTTAATTTCCGTATCCAATAATATTAATGCCTCAGTTCTGTCAACTCCAACCAACGACCTATATGATGATATGTGGAATTCGGACCAAAATATTCAATGATGATATCATCTTAGGGTGCATCTATTTTCCTCCAAACTCAACCTTTGAAAGTTACGATATTTTCTGTAATACTTGTGAATCTCTAATGCCGAAACTCTTATTACGTCTATGTATTTTCTTGAACAAATAAATTCCATTAGAAATAATCTTGGTCGTATCTGACTTCGATCACCTCCTCGTGTCACCTAGCGAAAGTCCATTGCTTAATGTTGACAAATTTCAGCCTCCTGTCGAGTTGTCCATCGATCTTTCAAAATATGTTCATTAAAATCCAATTCTCGCAATAGTACTGTGTATATATTCAGAGGCTAATTTTAAAAAACTTAATAACTTTTACAACCAGGTGGACTAGACGTCAGTCAATAAAGCACCAAACATCGAAGACAGAGTTGACAAATTTTATGACATTTTGTTTCAAGACATCAATCAATTTGTCCCAAAAAAGACTATAAAAAACATGAAATATCCAAAATGGTTTGACAGTGAACTTCGAAATTGTATTGCCTCCAAAAATAGACTATTGTTAGAAGTTAAAAGAATTAACTTCAAAATTATTGTTTTTAAATGATTTATCACCCTGTATACTATAACACCCTGTATAGCCACTTCATGAAACACGTGTTAACATGGTTTAATAACGTTTTATTAAATATCTCGTAAACAATGTTTGAAATGTAATTAATTAAGGAACAAAATAAAGAATGTCTTTAAAGGGCATAAGGCCTATCACTTCATAGCGTTCGGCTGGTCGAACGTCAAGTCCCCGTTCTCGGCGCTCTCTCCTGGTCCTGAACACTGAAACGGATAGACGTGGTATTGTTGACCCCAGTGGCGGCGATATCCTAATTCGCTGACTCTAACAGACACTGCAACGGGCAGACGTGGTATCGTCGACCCAGTGGCGGCGATATCCTAATTCGCTGACTCTAACACTATATAAAAAATATAAGCTCTCTGGTCTGAGTAGTGACTACCAGTTATTCTAATGGCCGTCGCGAAGTAAAGTACCACACTGATTTATGTTAGCTTTGTCCCAACATCTCACAAAACCGTAATATTACGGTCATCGTCATGCGCAGTAAATAAAAACCTATCAATAAAGCCCAAAGTCGAACGGTTTTTATTTACTGCGCATGACGATGACCGTAATATTACGGTTTTGTGATATGTTGGGACAAAGCTATTATCTTACCTTTGCTTCTAACATGGAACACCTTATTCCTAATAATATCAAGCACTTCTGGTCATATATAAGAACTCTGTGTAAAGACTTATCAAACATTCCAAAACAAATGAAATCTAATGGCAAATTAATTTATGACCCTGAAGAAATAGTTGAGGTATTTGCCTCTTATTTTCACTCCTGTTACATTAAACATAATGTTGTTACCTCCTAACCTCATTACTGATTTCTCTAGTAATCTTTCCTCTCGCGTTTTCACTGAAGAAGAGATCAACACTCACTTGCTTCAGTTAGATGGCTCTAAAGGCCCTGGTCCGAATGGAATTCCTCCCATTTTCTTAAAAATCCTCACTTTCTACTCATCTATGTCAATTATTCCAAAAATGTTTTGATGATGGTTTCTTTCCCCAACGTTAGAAATATTTTAACTTAGTGCCAATATTTAAATCCGGCGACAAATCTAATGTTTCAAACTATCGAGGAATCTCGATTATATCCAGCATTCCTAAAGTCATGGAGGCTATAATAACAGATGAGATATTTACGTATTTTCGGCGTTACATTGCATCACAACAGCATGGCTTTTTTAAAGGGCGATCAGCAACTACTAATCTTGCTGATTATGAGCAGTTTCTTTTATCTGCAATAGAGGATGGCAAACACTGATCTGTCTAAAGCTTTCGACAGCGTTTGTCATTCCTTGCTGTAGATAAATTAAAGAGGATGGGTATTATCGGCAACTACCTTGAGTTTATTCGTTCCTATTTAACTGAACGTCATCAGAGAGTGAATTTATGTGGTTTCACATTAGCGTAATTTTGGTACATTCAGGTGTGCCACAGGGCTCGTATATAGGACCTATATTGTTCATACTTATTGTAACAACTTGTTTTAATAACTCCAGTTGCTGCAGATGACCTAAAATTTTGTTCAATCCTCAATGACCTTTCAAACAATCACTTACAATCAGATCTCGGCAATTTGGTTCAATGGTGCAACGATAACTTGCTTAAACTGAATATTGATAAATGTAAAGTCGCAAGGTTCAATAAAATACCTAATATGTGTTGGTGTTATTTTTGACAGGGACCTATCATTTATTCTTCATTTGGAAGAAATTGTAAATAGAGCTTTTCGACTGCTGGGCTTTGTCAAAAGGAACACCATGCACATTTATTTGAATAAGAATAATTTCTTGACCGTAGCAGAATTTTATTGGGGTTTCTGCTATTTAAAAAAAAAAAATAAAAAAAAATTAATTTGTTTGTAATCGTCCCCATGTTTTTTTTTTTTTTTAATTTTGACTGTACCCGAAGATGGAAAAGTTTTCCGAAACATATGTAGTAGTGCTGTGCTAAACAATAGAAAATAAAAACGACCGAATAAACCAAGGAAATTTTTATTTATATAAAATGCACATTTATGACATGGCAGCTCAAAAGAGTCTCTGCAACTGCTTAGTTAAAAGCATTTTAGAATACTGCTTAGTGATTTGGGCACGTAACTACAATTGTCATATTGATAAATTAGAAAGAGTGCAAAATAAATTTTCGAAGTATCTGCTATATTAACATAGGCTTCCATCGCAAAATATAGATTACCAAACCAGAATTATGTTGTGCAGAGAGTAAGAGTTTGGATTGCAGACGTCGAAAAGTATCGCTTGTTTTCCTGTATAAGTTATTGAACGGTTTGATTGAAAGTGACAGCCTGCTACATTTTATTAGATTCCTTGTTCCTGCCAGACTTACTAGGCAGATTAAACTATTTTATGTAAATACTCATAGAACTAACTATGGACAGAATTTATTTGTAGACCGACTGATGTCCAATTACAATAAGTATTTTTCAAATTATGAAATTTTTAATACAGGTTTGTTTTCGTTAAAGCGTCAACTTTCATTACACTATTGACTTCATTTTTATACTGTTACAATTTTATTAATTACTTTTTATTTTATTTTAATTAATCTTTTAAATGTACCATTTAGAACTTTATGTATCTGTAGCATACTGTAAACAAATAAATAAATAAATCCAGTTTCACGAGCTTGGACATGTAAGGCAGATAAAGAAAACAGCTGCCAATGCAATAACTAATGATACCAAATTTGATATTATGCTTGAGTTTCATGAAAACCAACATACTTCTAAACGACAAGCAGTCCCAGTTTTCGAAATTAAGCCATTCATCGATTATTCGAACAGGCGAGGATTGATGGAATGGCCAGCACGATCCCCTAATCTGACATCATTAGATTTTTTGTTATGGGGATGTCAAAAGTATTGTATACAAAACTAAACCTCTCGACCTAGCTGACTTAAGAAGACGAATAACGCTTGGGATTAGATTGGTCACACCTGAGATGTTGAGTTACGTTAGAAGACGGTTTTATTTCAGATTAGGATGTTGCCAAGAGGTTCGCGGCGAGCATTTTAAACATCTCCTACATTGAGATGTGTTTTTTTATTACATTCTCAAGAAATAAACAGTATTACTTATTAGTTTTTGAGTGTGTTGTAACGAATTTCTGTAATCAAATAATATTATATTTAATGTTAATTTTTGCAATAAATCGGAAAACATTTAATATTTCCGAAACAGATATTGGACATAATACATAAAATATGTCTAAAATTTTCTGAAGAATCCAAAAATTGATAAATATCCATTTAAAATAAGAAAGTTGGTATTGGCCACTGTTACATGACACATCCTGTATAAAAGGTTTTTGTTAAAAAATGCGCAACTAAAAATACCAATCGACGTATCCGAGCGTTTTTTTGAACACACCCCCATTTATTTATTACCGAATTTATTTCATTTGGCTGTTCCACACTGTATAAAAATATGTACATAACTATTATATGCACGCAAATTGATTTAAAAATGTTATACTGCAATGTTATACAGTGGTAACCAACCTCTATTTATGGTTGTTAAGGGGGTCACAACCGGCTACCCCAGAAAAAATTTAAGGGGTCACTTAATAAAACCATAACAATCATTAATTTTTATGGAAAACGATACACATTGCAACTGTCAGTTGTAACTGATCTGTCATTATTTTAAGTCACATTCGGAAACTTGTAATGATGTCAAATAATACAATTTTATTTGATTTTAGGTTGTAAAATGTAGTTCATTGCAATATATCATAAAACGTTGTATGATATACGCCCGTTACCTGATCTCTACATGCTGTTCTATGTAACGGGCTTATAACGGAAACTACTATTTCCATTCCTCTGTAACTAGATGTGCCCTTTTCCAAATAACTAATATTAGCAGTTGATGCCGATGACACAAAAAAAAGAACTACACTATTAATGATTTAATAAAAATGAGTACATAATAATTAATATAGTTTGAAAGTTACACTGCTTTTTGACCAAGAATAATTAATAGTTACTTTCTACAGCATTTTCAAGATTCTAGCTTTAGTTAATTTGATTTATGACATTAAGATCCATTTGCACCACTAGTCGTTAAGAAATAAGCCAAGATTAAACTGACATTTTTCCTAACAATGTCACTTTAAGCTTCGCTTAGTTCTTAACTACTACCGGTGCAAATGGCCCTAAATGAGTGGGTTCACAAGACTAATGAGTATAATTTTGTCGACTCTCTTTCCTTTTACTGTACTTCATTGCCAGTTTTATCGATATGGCAGCATTTCAAAATATAGCCTGTTTCCATTAGAATACGTCACAATCCACCTTAGCCTTGAAGTTCGTATTTTAAAAATTATTTGTAGCCACAGTCTCAGCTGCAGAATGGTTGAATCCAGTCAACTTTGTTATGGTAGGCCAAAATTAAAAGAAATAAAAAAAAAACTAATAAGTCCGTTTCTCAAGATATTTCTTAATGTCACCAACTGAATAAACATTTTCATGCCTCTATTTTTTATATATTTTTTTCAGTTGTAGCCATTTACGACTATTATGCGGATAAAGATGACGAATTGAGTTTTCAAGAAAGTTCCGTAATTTATGTTTTGAAGAAGAACGATGATGGTTGGTGGGAAGGTGTCATGGATGGTATAACAGGACTCTTCCCTGGAAATTATGTAGAACCATGCGTATAAAAACATTAGCTAATATTTAGCATAAATAATAATATATTTTTAATTTTAGTTTAATTAATGGATAACATCTCCTTGTATTATGATTCCATCATCAACAGAAGAAGTTTCAAAACAATAATTTTCAAACTATAGATCTAATTTGTAAGGTAAAAATTAGTTAACTATTTTTAAGACCAATGAATTACCCAAATTTACTGTAATCGTGGGATCATAATATAAGTCTTCTCATAATATTTTAATCAATATGGTAAAAAATATATGAGTATGTTGGAGTAAAAAGAATAGAGGTAAAATCCAGTTATAGGTTCAAATACTATGTTATTTATAATATTCATTTGAAAATTATCCAAATGTGCGATAAGAATTCAATCCCAAGAAATGTAAATCTGTAAGGTTTAAGATTTTGTATTAATCAATATTAGGAAAAATATATGTATAAAGGAGCTTCATTTAATATTAAATCTTATATGTTAAAATTGTCTGTTTGATTAATGTATAGAAACTGATTGATTAATGGCCCCTATTATTGAACGATTTTTAAGTCCAAATATCCATATCTCAAAGTGGTCCGTAGTTGATTTCAAAGAAAAAATAAACGCAAATTGTAAACCACTGAAACCGCTCAAATACTTCTTGATGCAGGTGCTTGTAGGGTGTGGGATTTCGACCAGGATTTAAATAATTAGCTAATATCATGAACATAGGAGCTTTATTTACCATATTAGCAATATAAAAAAAAACAAAATTTATAATTATACAACGGCAAAAATACATAAAAAATATTAGTACTTAAACATCCCAGTTCTCAACAGCTGTTGATTCCATACTTTTAAGTTCAGCAGTGGAATTCTCATAATTCAATGCGGCACATGTTGAGAAGCTTCTATCTTTGTTCAATAGAATGCTATTTTTATGTAATCTCTCTCTCTCTCTCTCTGTTTAATTCAGAGAAATGACATTATCAAGCTGTCAAAATTTATCAGGTCCATAAACTTCAATGAAGTTGTTGCAACTGGCCGAATCTATTTTTGGTTTAAAACTTTAGCTTTTTGTTGACTTTGACTTTTGGCACATACTGTATTGGAAGCTTGTGTTACAATTTTAATGATTCCCAACATCTTGAATATGACCTCAATAATTGATAATATAGAAAATCACTTTATTTGTTGAAGGTTGTCATATACTATTTTAACACAAAAAAAAATCTAATGTGTCCAACACATGACTTTCCTGTCTAGTTATAGGATTTTCCGGTTATTTTGTACAACTTATTGTATCACCCCTGAACATGTTTAGTGGATGAATTAAATATAGATTTTCCACACACATCTTACTCGGAATATTTATTTTTTTATATATTCATTAACAACAAACACTGAAAAAATAAAATTTTATACTTTTCCTAAAAAAATTCCATTATGGTCCATTTTAGCGAAATCATGTATAACAAAATTATAAAACAAGTTATAAAAGTAATTTTAAAAAACCGACTTCAGAATCATCCAGAGAGTTTGCAGATTTTCTCACAGATGTCAACACCAGATCTTGACCAAATTCAAAGACCACCTCTGAAGTACCCCTTCAACAAAAAATCATTCAAATCAAAAAAATATTCTGACGAATTGAAAACCTCCTCCTTTTTTCTGAAGCTTGTTAAAAACAATTTTTATTTGAAGAATGTTCTTCTCCAATCGTAAATAACATATTCCTTAAAGTAAAAAAGCTAAATTATTAGTTTTGTTCTGCTTATGTATAAAAAACACGACTACACGCGGGCGAAGCCGCGGGCAACAGCTAGTTATCTATAAAGCAAAAAATTAGTTACGTAAACCAAACTTGACTTGAGGTTTTTAGGTTTAATTAATATTTGAATAATAAGCATAATCAAAAAGAATAAATTTATTTAAAATAAAAACATACAAATCCAATATTTAAAAAATATATCAAGTAGCTGGGACTATCGGGCTGCTACACATAATCCAAGATAGCATTGCGCCTCAGACGTAATAGAGAATGTGATATCTAAAACAGAAAACACACAGTATAAGTATAAAAATAAACGTGAAAAGTCCACAGTAAAAACCATCAAGTTCTATGAAATCAAATTTTTCAGGAGAGCAAAATGGACTCTGATGTTTATTGCATTCTATGCCCGATCTTTATTATGCGATTTCAAAGGAACTGTGATGGTTTTTTAATGTTTTATTTTCTGACATGATGATTTTGCTTAAACACCAAAAGATGGCACCGAGAATTCAAAATTACCTAAAAATAGAATTTGATGGTTTTGCAGTGGCCCTTCAAATATATTAATAATAAACTGATTAAATAAATAGAACCAAAGAGGCATAAAAACAACAGAATTTTTAATTTTTTTGATAAATGAATCCGTTTTTAATGTCCTGGTTTGTTTCAATAGTATGGTTTTAATGCAACACGTGGAAGATATGCGGTTCCGTAAAACAGTTTATGAAACGCTGTGCTAGAATCCAAAACTGATACTGACATTCATATAGAAAGTTTAAAACTTACCAATACATAGCATTTATTCGATGTCTAAATCATTTGAAGTTGAAAGCAGTTCTTTCGCTGAATATTTTCTGTCCAGACACAAAAGGCGATTTCAAAACTAAATTAAAGGCAGTTCATCCGGTACGCTACCAAGAACTGTTAGGAAATAACACAAATATAATGAAAAACAAGCTTACAAAGCTCAACCTTAGTATAGAGAACAATCAGTAGTGCAACTCTCGAGCGGTACCTTTGAATTCGAGGGAATAGAAAACTGGTTTCTCCTCTTTATCTGCTACGCAAAAAAATTGCATTTTTATCTCATTCTTCCCTCAAGATTTCTACTCTCTGAGATTCAAGAATAGATAGTCCCCAGCACGAGTCACGATTTTCCACAAGGAAGAAGAGGTTTGTCAGGCGACACCATTTTGTTAGGATCATTCACAGATCCGGGTTCGCAGTTTAAGATAATTTTTATATACATATCTGTACGAAACTTTTTATACAAAATTATAATAGCACACTTAAAATTACAATATCTTCGATCTCTCATCTGAAATTGAGACTGCAATAAATGTCAAGTACAAAAGATGTGTGATAAAAGATATGATATATAATATTTATCAATAACCGATGTGAGATCACCACTGAAAAGAAAACACTTGACAACACCACTAGGAAGACTAGAAAAAAAGATAATTTCCTAACTGTAGCAGAATTTTATATAAATAAAAATATCCTTGATTTATTCAGTCATTGTTTTTATTTTCAGTCGTTTAGCATAGCACTAGATACACTAGTGGAAAAAATTAAGGGATTTTGCGATTTAGTAGAGTAGGTATCTTTGGTAAAAATGGTCGTACGTGAATGAAAAAAAAGCAATTTGAAGCTTGAAGTGTCTAGTTTATGGATCTTGCGATAAAAAAAATTTGCAACCAACAATTAGCACAAAATCCGGATGAATATCATGGATAGAAAATTTTTGAAAATATTTTTTTTTAATTTTTAGTGTACGGACTTGAAAAAAATTTCTCGACATAACCACTATATGCATTGGATAGGTGATAGGTGGTTCAGTTAGCATCAATTTCTTTTTTTATGGCCTCGAGATAACCCTTCCTTGCTGAGTTATGAGAAAGTAAAAGTTGAAAAGTCTTTTGGTAGGTAGAGAGGGGGTAAACGTCAAACCACGTCGGGCGGCTCCGAGAATTTCACAGTAATGTTTACCTGCCAGTGTCATTTCATAGAATAAGTAATTTTAAATTGTTATCGGCGAAACCGGACAATCGCATGTATTTATGGATTATAAATAATTATTAAACATGTATTATAATATTCAAATTATAATTTTACAAAATTTCAGCAGCTATTCACAATTTATTAAACTATTTACTCGAAATTGTTATTAACATCTATAAAATAATTTTGGACGCCAATGTATCGCGTCCACTTCGGTGAGATCCGGTGCCAACCTGTCAATTTATGTGTATAAAGTGGGAGAACTGGCAAAAGCATTTCCAACTTTTACTTCTGTTCTATCAGAAAATGAACGAAAATTCGTCATTTCCTCTTCTCTCGTCAATATCTCCGGAACCAATGGTCGCTCAGAAAATGGAAGGGGGATTTCGGAAACTTTGATTCGATTCTCTACAAGGTTCTGGCATGTTCTTTCACGAGAAAAAAAATTTTTTTCATCCTTAGTATGACTGAAGAATTTCGGAAAACAGGTCTTTTTGAGGCTTTTTAGAAAATCACGTGCCACATTGAGAATATTGGGAAATTGAATGTTGAGTGTGCATCTTACAGGCCATTGTTCCCCCGAAAGCCCTACAAAATTTCAACCTGATCCATCAAGCCGTTTCATTTCATGCGAATGAATTTTGGAAGAAATTGAATGATCGCGTTCTTCTATCCATGATATTCATCAGGATTTTGTGCTAATTGTTGGTTGGAAAAATTTTTTATCGCAAGATCCATAAACTAGACACAAATTGCTTCTTTTTTTTTCATTCACGTACGACCAATTTTACCAAAGATATAGCCACTCGAAAAATCGCAAAAAATCGAGATTTTCTTTTTGATCCCTTAATTTTTTCCACTAGTGTATGTTTCGGAAAATTTTTATTCCATCTTCGGGTGCAGTCAAAATTTAAAAAAATAAAAAAAAAAGAGGACGATTACAGTTTAAAAATTTTTAAAATAACAACCCCATCTTTCTCTTTCAGCATATGAAGATTTCGAATACACCTGTGCTAAACGATTGAAAATAAAAACAATGACTGGATAAACCAAGGAAAAGCTACTGCACAGAATGTCTTCACAATAAAATTATTCCAAAGAAAATGGCGACGCAAACGATGTAGTTCTTATGCTTAGACCTTTTGAAAAATTTGAGTCGCAATACCGATTATTCTCTATACTCTCGCTCAACTAAATAAATTGAAAACACAACTGCAACCAAGTTAACTATATAAATAAATGCACCTGTAATCGTAATATTTCTTTTCGACCATGACACCCTGACAATAATCAATAAGTCATTACCATCTTTCACCACATTCCACTATTGCAGCGAGCTGAGATAGCGGACGTGGTTGATTTTACACTAGAATGATCTCTTCGCCCATACCTCCCGATGATTCCGTACAAGAATTCATAGGTTCCATGGTAGTGGAATATTCATCTACTACTATGTCGCCTGGGGGTCGATTCTCGACTTGTAGGAACCTTTTCCTATAGGAATTTGTGACACTTTCGTGTATGTAGGAAAATGTCA